TACATTTTTTATAATTTATAAAATTTATGTTATTACTCTTATTAGCTTCTCTTATTATATTACTCCTATTCGACTAGGCCCTAGAGCATTTTGTTTTTATAAATTTGTGTCACTCTGTAGTGTTTATAAATTTTAGGTTTTTAAAAACGAGAAATTATTGTAATGGAAAATTTTTTTAAGCAACAATTTCATGAAGCTCACACTTTTTGTTTTTGTTTCTTATTTTGTCTTACATGTTGATATTTTGATATTTTTTTTTATAGACAATTTTTAGATTTAAAACGGTATGAGTAATAAAGAAAATTATGAAATTTATGCTGTGTTTTCTCTATTAAAGACATTATTTTAAAATTATTTTCATTTACTTGTATATACATATGTACATATGTATATACATACTTATAGTACACCTTGGTATAATGTGCGCTTTAGGCACCCAATATTGTGTATATTATTATAGGGTTGTGTGTATAAATACTTTTATACCAATAAAATGAAGAAAATGTTACTATGGTAAAGCAATAAATTTTCTATTACTTTTTATAATTGGTTTAACATTAATAATTAATCAGTTTTGATGACTCATAATATAAAGCTATTAAATACATACGTATATACCCGAATTATTTACGTCTGCATTTTTATACATTTTTATACTTACATATGTCTATTTAATTTAAAAACATATTGAAAACTTTAATACTTATGTATGTATGTAAGTGTATACATATGTATATGCGTATAAATTCAGATACATAGATTGAAGTATACTCTTAAATATTTAGTATGTAGGTAGGTTCTATTTAGCTTTAAACAAAATATTATTAAGAGTTTATAAATATTATAAAGTATAAATTATATGTAGGTATGTACATATATACATATTATAACTATTTGTATGTCAAATAAATATACTCATGTGTACATACTTGTATGTATGAATATTTCAGAGAAATGTGGAAAGAAGGATAATTCAGTTAATGCGTAATTTATTATTACATACTGTAAAAATATAAATTATAGGTACTATGAATCCCTAAACAAGAACAATAAACAATTTTTTTCTAGTGTTGATAATAATATAAATTTAATTAGAAAATAAATGAAATATTGGAAATAATATTATATATAGGTTAATTAATATAATTAAATAATTAGGGGTATAATTATTAAAGGATAAAAATTAATTAGTAAAATTAAAAAAATCAAATTTTAGTACTTAATTGCAAATTTTTGCACAAAATACACGCTATGTATACAAAAATGTAGACACCGCCTGGGGGGCATACATGCATAAAATTTTCAAACCATACTTAATTATTTTAAATTTTAATTTGTTACATATTGTTCAATATCAACTAGATAGAAGTTAGTCTTAATGAACTATAAAATTATTAATATTAATCTATTTAGAATTCTAAAATGTAATGAAGTTGAATTCAAATAAGTAGATATAATTAGTTTTTAAACATAATACAATAAAATTTTAATTATTTAATTTAAAAGTAATTCCAAATAGTCTGTTGGTTGCAAGTAAACTCTAGATGGATTTGGATTTGTTGAATTTGTTAGACCAGTTCATTTTTCTGTTTGTAAAAGCTAAAAGTAGTTTTGTTTTTAATTAAATACCTAATTAAATTTCAAAAACAGAAATTCTGTATTCTTACCTAAACTCGTTTTAATTAAAATCATTAAAGATTTGAAAAATCCAAGAATCTGTAATAATTAGATCCGTAAGAATTTTACGAATTTTGTATCGATTCCAATAGTAACAAGGTACATTACTACTTACCAATAGTAATTCTAATTACATTTATACTTGTAAATGTTAGAAATCTAATGAATATCCTCAATTTAGACCCTAGCGTCTTGAAAAATTTATATTTTCCTTAAGAAATTCTGAACCACATAGTCCTTTTTGTGAAATTTCATATTTTTCTTTAAAGTGCGTCAATTAAATTTTCAATATTTTTATTGGAAATGCCATTTTTCTTCAACATATTTAAAAATTTTTTAGTATTGACATTATTTAGCTACATTATTTTAAATATTAAAAAAAATGTACATTTATTTTTCAAAATTTTGTGTTTATAAATTGAAATTTGACATTTAAACATCAATTAATTTTAAACTATTCACAATATTAATAATCAAACTGAGCGGCATCTACTTTTTGAGTATCAAACTAAAGAAAAAATATTAAGTATAATTTATTTATTTTTGAATTTGATTTTTCATAGTAGAGAAATATAAAATTAATCAATTGAGACATTTTAACAAGAAATCTTTTATATGAATTTTAATGGGAACAAAATACGATTAACTCCGATGCATTCAAACGAGAAAAATGAAACTTTACAATAAAGACTGCTTTAGAATTTCTTAAAAAAAAAGTATAAATTTTTCAATACTCTAAACTTTTCAGAGACTTATTTACTTGGGAAAGACTGTATATATAAAATTAATATGCAAATATTGTAGTATTAACTAACATAAATTTATTTTAAATCTTCATAAGCATATATTTAAGTATTTATGTATATAAAATTTTCGTATTTAACCTATTTAGTTCCGGAATCATAAAATTTCATCATTTTCTAAATTTTCTATACATATTTACATACATATATACGAAATAGGTGTATATATGTACCGTTATTTATGTTTTTGTTTAAAATAATTAACTATATTTTCTATTTTCTTATTTTAGCTGAATCATAATAGTTATTTTTGTATGTACCCACTTTTTTTTTGTAGTATTCAAATACTTATACTTGGTATGCAATATTATATTATATATAAAAAAAAACGTGTTTCATTAATATTTACACATAACTAATTAATTATTCTTAATGTAAATATTTTATTTTTATAGTACTTTTTTTTATTATATAATTTTTGTTCTTTTTCATATTTAATGACTTTAGAATGACTCATGTTATTTTAGTGTGGTTTACTGTTTTCTACTTTTTTTTTTTTTATTTAAAATGAAATTTTATTACCAAAACAAAAAGTTAATGCATAGTGAAAAGAATTTTCAATTATAAATATGAATAATATTCATGCGTTAAGTAATTGTTTTTTTCTCAACCCTGGTAAGTAAGTACAAAAATGTGAATGCACAAATACTTACTTACTTACTTTGAATACTTATTAAAACAACCATTTGTGTTGCAAAAAATAGGTTAAAGTTACTTGTATTGCACATATTGAATTACTACAAGTGGAAAAAAACTGATTTAAGTGCATTAATTTCTTTCGCAACTTTGAATTTTTTTTCTTTTGTTAATTCACAATAAAATTAAATTTAATTATTTACTTTAATATAGGAATTTTCAATATTTGGACTTAGCGACACCTATGGTACTTTTAGTTTCTATTCAAAATATAATGATTTAATAATAATGTTTTTACTCGCTTTTCAGTTCTATATTCAGTACCGTAATTGTATTTTTAAAAATTCTTCAAAATATCTTAAATATTTCATTAAAATTTAATATTATTTAAATGTATTATTGTGTAGAAATTGCAAGCATGATAATATTTTTCGCTACTTCAATGAAATATTTAAAATTTTATTCAGATGACCAATGGAAAACTTCATCTCACTTACTAATAAAAGTAAATGCATTATATTATCATTTTGATTGATAGGTTTTAATAATATTTACACTGTGAAATTTATATTTTTTTAATATGGATTTAATGTAATTTCATTGTGATTAAGTATATATGCTATAATATATTACGTATTTCCTTTATATCATATATTTTACTTACATATATGGTGTGTATTTATACAAGATGTCCTTATAAAAGTATTCAAAATTGATTGATTGCTTACTGATGGTATTACGTACACATATACTTAAAGCATTGAACATTTTATTTTTATTTAAATTTAATAAGCATTATACAAGACAAAAACTTACCTAAACTTTAAATTATTTAAGAAAATATATGTATAAGTGTAATATTTTAAGTATATAAAATATAATGAATTTTGAAGTTTAGGTAGTTTTATTTAAATTTTTGTTTTTAATTAAAATCTATAAAGTTTTAAAAAAATTTTTAACTTAATTTAAAAACATTTTGAGAAAAATTATAGCTCTGATCTTCGTCTTAACATTGAATAACGAAAGTAACATTAACTAGAATAGGGGACGATTCTCAACTGTTATTTACATAACAAATATCGAATGTTTCGGTTTAAGAAACGTAAAAAAATTTGTTTTACATAGTTTATGAATCGTAAGGTCTTTCCTATTTTTAATCAGAAAATAAAGTGATAATCAAAATGAAAAAGTCGAGGGAACGTATCTTAAAAATTACGTACAAGTTACATACAAAAAATAAATTTGTTTAACAAAAATGAGCTACTGAGAATAGTAGATAAGTTCCTTAAGTTTTGACACATCAATACGATTTCATTTGTAATAAAGAGTATTTTACAATAAAAAAATATATTGAAACAAAATATCAGCTGACAATGCAAAATGTCAAATCTAAGTTCTTCATATTTTCATTTTAGTTAGCACTGAAAAGTTTATTGTGAATATTAAAATTGAAGTTGTTGAAATATGACACCAGACGGAAATACTAACTTAGGTGTATAATTTGTTATGTAAAACGAACGTAAACTGTTATTCAAAACGGTATATTATTTTTATGTAGTAACTTGTATTTTCTATAATAATTTTTAAAAAATATAAATTTTGTTGTTATACTACTTAATTTGTTTTTTTTTATTTTAAGAACTTTTAATCAAAAGTTCTTTTGCAAATTTATTCTATAGGCACTGATAATGGCCCAAATATATTTTTTATGAAGTCAATTGGTTATGTTTTGTGTATGGATACAAAAATAATGCTATTTACTTAACCACAAAAAAATTCTAGATAATATTTAATCTTTTTGTAAATAAGTTTGCTTTATTAAGTAAGTACCTACATAATATTGAAAATTAATTTTGTTTTTTTCTTTATTTTTTGTCATTTCAGATGGATTGAACGATATCTTAAAAATTTCGAAAGCAGTCCAAATTAAACAAAATATGGAGTATGAATAGCAAAGTAAATTTCATATTCACTTGTATGAAAACATTTTCGATTTCATTTTGGTTTTTCATATTTAAATAAGAAACAAATAAGTAAATAAATATTTGGATAACAAAAAAATTTAATAAATAAGTATTAAATTAGAAAAAAAAGAAAAAAACATGAAATGAATGAAGAAAAAGTCCATTAATATTAAAAAACAAAATTTTAGTGAAAAAATAAGTAAAAAATTAATACTTTCAAAAATTTCAACTTAAACAACTTTTTTAAAGAAAATCAAAATCAAAAATAAAAATAATAAGTTCTTTATTTCTTTGTATATTATTCAAAAAAATTCAAAAAATAAAAATTGTTTTCGAAAAATATTTCAATAATATTTTTGGTAAATAAAAAAATTTTAAATTATAAGTGTAAAATAAAAAGAAAAAAGCAACAAAACAACATTTTGAAATTAAAAAAAAAAAAAAACAAAGAAATAAAAGAAGAACTTTAAAAGATTTTCAAAAACATTTTTTTTTGGGGAAATACAAATGAAAACTTCGCATTGCATATCGTCTAACTACGACTTCCCTGGTCGCCCTCTTTATTTGCAGAGTGGTAACAACAACGGTAGCAACAGCAACAGCAGCAGCAACAACAATCACAATCATCATCATCATCATCGTAGTAGTAATAGTAGTAATACTAATATAGCAACATCAACAATTATTGGGAACGAACATCGTATTCATTCATCATCAACATCATCATCAGCAGCTGTATCAATTAATAATAATAATAATAATAATAATGGAAATGGAAATATAAATAATGGTACAACAACAACAACAGCAACATCATCATCATCATTATCATCATCAGCATTAATTTATCAAAATCAATCGAATCAACAACAACAACAATTCTTATCGTGTTCAAATGAACCAAATATTTCTTTACAACATAATCAACAACATCATAATAATTATAATATAGATTCGAATACGACACCACCATTAGAAATTATTGAAACAAAACCAAAAATAATTAATTCCAGTAATAGTAATAATAATATTAATACAAATAGTATTAATAATAACAGTAGTAGCGGCTGTATTAATAATAATAATAATATAATTAATAATAATATTGATAATAATAATCAAAATATTAATAATAGTGGTAGTAGTAATAGTAGTAGAATAAAAACTTGTAATTCAACAAGTAATAGTATACAAAAATCAAAAATAACATCAACTTCAGCGGCAACTTCATCAACAACAATTACAAATAACAATAATAATAGTAATAATTATAGTGATAGTGATATATCAATAATTTCAACATATAATTTAAAGGATAGACATATTTCTAATAATAATATTAATGAAAATTCAAAATATCGTTTACAAACAACAGCATCACCTTCAAGAACGGGTGGAACAACAGCAACAACAACTGGTGCACCAACATCAGCTATAATATATGATAATAATATACAAGATTCTAAAGTTGTAATTAAATATGAGCCACCGCCGCCAATACAATTAAATTCACATCATACAGCTGATTATAGTAATAAAGATTGTCAAGTAATTAGAAATACAAATAAATATCATTATCAACAACAACAACAGCAACAACAACAGCAACAACAGCAACAACAAAAATCAATTAAAAGAAAACGTGAAACAGGTTTGTAAATCAATATCAAAAATTTAATAAATCTAATTTGAAATTCAAAAACTTAAAAAACAAAAATTAAGCAAATACTTAAACTATACTTAACTAGTTTAAAATTTTTTTTTTTTTTTAGTCACCTTGCAACATTTATTCTTAACCTAATTTAAAAAAAAAAAAAAATTTTTAATCAATATCATTGTAATTTGAACATAATTAATTTTAATTTGAATAAATTTTATTTTAACATGATTAAACTACGATAAAATATATATAGCTATTCATTTATTATTAAATTTTTATATCGTAATTAAATATGTATAAATATTTACTATTTTACTATTGAAATTTTATAATTTTTAGTGAAAAATTAAAAAAGAATTTAATATTAAATAGAATATCGCCTTCATATAAATTCACTAAAGTCCATGAATTGTTGAAATTTTTTGATAAATTTAAGTAATTATTAAATTATAAATTAAATGATTAATTCTTATAGTCTCAATTTGTAATTTGTACTTAAAATTTTGTTTCGTTGTAGTACACACATCTAATAAGTTTGGTCGTTTGCATCTTAACGGTAATGTTAAAGAACATACCGACTTAATAATATTCGCTTGGGTGTACTCAAATGTAACATTTTACAAAAATTACATTAAGTATTTTGAAATATTTTATTAAATATTAATTTGAGGTTCAAGATCAAATATTAGTTCTTAAGGTTAAGAAAAATGTTGTATACTAAAATATAAGTACTTAAACTTTTACTAGATTTTTTTTAAATAAACATCATTTTTATATATAAAAACAAAATAATTGTCATTAGTACTTAATCTAAATTCATTTTAATTCCAAATTATGCTTAATTCAGGTCTACATTGTGTGCATTTAAAAATTTTATGATTTTGTTGACTAAAACTCTTCGTTTCAAAATTCAGACGCAATATTTACTAAAAACTTACATTAATATTTCTTTTTAAATATTTTAGAAAAATAAAATTCATAATATTTAAGTGTGAAAAATTGTTATTGTTTTTTTATTACCAATAACGATGCTTTGTCACAAAATATTCGAATTGTTAAAAATATTTCTTTGTGAAATGAAGTCAAGAGAATTTTATTTTTGTATTTTATTTCACAAAGAACACTGAAAAAAACAAAACACAAAAATTATTGTGAATTTTTGTAAATTAAGTAAAAATAAAAAAATGAGAGACAAAAAAATATATATAGACTAAAAGCTTCTACGTCTTGCTCAAACTTAACAAAAGCGTTTTTTTTTTTTGGTTAATGCAAATATTTTAAAAATTAAAATCATAAATAAAATATTTACAGCAAAAAAAAAGAAAATTCATTTAGTTGTGAACTTTCAAAATTAACTAAATAATTTCCAAATTCTATAATAAAATAAAGAAAAATAAAATATTTTAAAAAAATTTGCAAAGTCAATTATTTTAGCTTTTGAACATAACAAATAATTTTACGCTACTTATTTACCTAATTAAAATGTATAATTATTTTAACATATATATGTATGTGTATATAGTTTTTAAAATAGTTTTGTAATATAAAAAATTACTTTAGTTGGTTATATTATAATTTTCTTATTTTATTTTTAGATTGTGATTGTGGTTGCGTCGACTCTTCAATAGGGGGTGGAAACGGTGGTATAGTTGTAGTAACAAATAATAGTACTACGGCTCCATCTGCAGCATCATCATCAAACAGCATCAAAACGGCGCATGCAAAAGTAGCAACATCTGGGGGGCATGCAAATACGCAACCCCCTAGTAAAAGATCAAGTAGTGGAGCTGATGGAGATTATCAATTAGTACAACATGAAGTTTTATATTCTCTTTCAGCTGAATATGAAGTAAATAATATCAAATTATCTACATAATTTAAAATTATATTTTAATATTCTATTTGTTATATTAACAAAAATACTTTTTTTTTTGTTTTTATTTTTTTTTAAGGTTTTAGAATTTTTAGGGCGTGGAACATTTGGTCAAGTTGTAAAATGTTGGAAACGTGGTACAAATGAAATTGTTGCTATAAAAATTTTAAAAAATCATCCGTCGTATGCTCGCCAGGGTCAAATTGAAGTATCAATTTTATCAAGATTAAGTCAAGAAAATGCTGACGAATTTAATTTTGTACGAGCTTTTGAATGTTTCCAACATAAAAATCATACATGTTTGGTTTTTGAAATGTTGGAACAAAATTTATATGATTTCTTAAAACAAAATAAATTTTCACCATTACCATTAAAATTTATAAGGCCAATATTACAACAGGTAAGTTTAAATAAAAATTTAAAATTTACTTATTATAATTTCATTTCAAAATATGAAAAATATTTTTTCTCGAAAAAGAAATTATAATAATAATAACTCTTTCCTTTTAAAGGTACTGACAGCTCTACTAAAATTGAAACAACTTGGTTTAATCCATGCAGATTTAAAACCAGAAAATATAATGTTAGTCGATCCAGCTCGACAGCCTTATAGGTAATTTTCTTACTTTAATATATCAATTTAACATTTTATAATATTTTTAATTATATCATTTTAGAGTAAAAGTGATAGATTTTGGTAGTGCATCTCATGTCAGTAAAACTGTTTGCAATACGTATCTACAATCAAGATATTACAGGGCACCAGAAATTATATTAGGTTTACCATTTTGCGAGGCAATTGATATGTGGTCTTTAGGCTGTGTTGTGGCAGAACTGTTTTTAGGATGGCCTTTATATCCTGGTTCATCAGAATTTGATCAAATTAGATACATATCACAAACTCAAGGATTGCCCACTGAGCATATGTTAAATAATGCTAGTAAAACATCGAAATTCTTTTATCGTGATGTAGATTCAACTTATCCGTTTTGGAGATTAAAAACAACAGAAGAACATGAGGCTGAAACAAATACAAAAAGTAAAGAGGCAAGAAAATATATTTTTAACTGTTTGGATGATATTGGGCAAGTAAATGTACCAACTGATTTAGAAGGTGGCCAGTTATTAGCAGAAAAAACGGATAGGCGTGAATTTATTGATTTATTGAAACGAATGTTGACTATCGATCAAGAGAGAAGAATAACACCAGCGGAAGCATTAAATCATTCATTTACGACATTAACACATTTGGTAGACTATGCTCATTGTAATAATGTTAAGGCATCGGTACAAATGATGGAAGTTTGTCGGCGAGGAGATTTTCACACGTTAGTATTAATTACTAATTCTAGAAATATCGAAATTACATCTTTTTAAAATTACGTTTTTTTAAATTATATTTTTTTTTTTAATTTTTGTTAAATATTTAGTGTGCAACCTACGTCGACCCTCGTTACGAATTTCGTACCTAATACAACAGAAAATATGACATTTACTATAAACAATCAACTCTCAAGCCAAGTTCAACGTTTGGTAAGGGAACGGCCAATAACCTATGAGAGTTTATACCAAATATATGGTGGCAGAAATGTTGGAAGACAATATACTAATGCAAGGGCTGATACCTTTCAACATCAATTGGTTTCAAATATTTTATGCCCGCCAACTTATCAAGCTATGCCAAGTCCAACAAAACATGTTGTGGTTGGTAGCGCTGCAATGCAACCTCCATTACAGGTAATTGTTTTATTATTAATGCGGGAAAATCATTTTTAATTTCTAAAAATGACATTTGTAGGTACCACCACAGCAATATGTCAATGTTCCTGTTCCAGTTTCAATGGTAGAACCGACTTCAGGTCAACGTATGCTTTTAACAAATCGAGTTCAAACAAATGCTTGGCCAAATGCCGGCAGACAAATGGCATTAGTGCCATCCTGGCCTCAACAAGCACCTCAACACTCATTAATTGTGGACTCGGCACCGTTTTTGAATGTTGAAGAAATATATCCAAAACATCATTTGAATTTACCACGCCATGAACCGAAGAAGGAGTCTCCAGTTCATCATTTATTGTAAGTTATATTTTAGATAAAAGACTTACCAAATATTATGCATTCTTTTTATTTATTTACATACATATGTACATATGTTTAGCTCAAACATTTTACAAAAATTAAAATAAAAGAACACATATATGTACATATGTATATATTTTTTGTTTTAATGTTTTGTAATCAAAAAATGAGAAATGTTATTTGAATTTAAATTGTAAATGCAACAAATTTTTTTTAAATTTGTTTCAGCGTTCCCAGGCAAGAAAAGAAGGAAACAAATCAATTTTCTCCGGTTAAGAAGCGTGTTAAAGAAAACTCACCGCCACATCAGCAAAGATATAGCAGAACACATGTTTCTCCACAACAGCAACAACAGCAGCAACAGTATCATAATCATCCTCAATGCAATTATTACAGCAGTGGTGGGGCATCCTCAAACAGTAATAATTTCAATCGATCGAAAATACCTTTTACACTTTTATTTCTCTTAAAAACAAATTTATAATTACATTAACACTTTTTGCAGATCCTATTAGTAGCCACCACCACCATCATCACCATCATCAACAACAACAGCCAACTCAACATAATGGTGGTAATTTGATGCATCAATCTGTTCAGGGTTCTTCATCATATCATAATAGCAGTCATAATAATAATGCACCACATCAAATATCAACTGGAACACATCAACCGATGGGTCATATAATTAAACAACAAACAATAACAATACACGATACCCCATCGCCGACGGCCGTTATTACAATATCAGATAGTGAAGATGAATCTCCTGATCCACCCGTACAAATACAACCACAACCACAGCCACCACCGCCACCACATCAACATCAGCATCAACATCAGCATCAACACCAGCACCCACATGTGCACCACAAGCAAGTTCAACGTGCTCACGCACAGTCACAAACAGTGTCAACTTCCTGTCGTGGCAGTGGTAACGGGAATAATAATAGTGGCGGACACAACTCTGTGTCGAATAATCAACAACCGGCTCATCAGAGCCAATCTTCATCGATGAATATGCATATGAATCATCACCATCATCAGCAGCCTCAACAACAACAGCAAAATCAAACTCAACAGCCTCAAAACCACCATCATCATGGTCAAAATAATATTCATAGCCAAACTCATCAACATAGTTCACAATCCGGGCACAACCAACAGAATGCTCAAATTCAAGAAAACAATAATACTGGAAATAATAACATGCATCAATATCATAACCATCATCAGCATCAAAATGGAAATAATGGTGCTATCAATAATAATTCTAGTAGCCAAAAGAATATATCTACTAGCAGTTCAAATAATTTAAATCAAAAGCACCGTAAAAATGTAATAAACTCTGCATGTGTTACAATTGGGGAAGATAATGATGTTCGCGATATGAATATTCAACATCATCAGCAGCAACAAACACATCAACAAATTCCTGAAACGCCACAACAAATAGTTGATCATCATCATCATGTTCAACAACATCAGCAGCATCAACAACATCATCAGCAGCATCAGCAACATCAGCAACAACAGCAACAGCAGCAACAACAATCACAGCAATTGCAGCAACAGCCTCCACCAATACAGACTTTGCAAGTTGATCAAAGAACACGTACAAGTCCAAAATATAACCCATCAAATGTGAAATATGAGCCTGGCCAATCTCAGAAAAAAAGGATTTTAGCAATGGCTCAAAATGAATGTCTTTTAAGTGGAAATTCAAGTGGCAACAATATGAACTCAAATAGCAATTCGGGAAACCAAGGTAACAGTAGTAATTCATCGAATAATTCAAATAATGTATCATCATCGCACCATGTTCATGTCCCCAAACAAGAACCTACCGAATTTTATGATTATTCTCAACAATTGGATAAAAGGTCATCTTGGGCACCTGCCCCAGCACATCATCATAAACGAGAAGCATCGGCATATATTGCAGCTGCGGCCGCCGCTGCAACAGCAAATCAACAGCAAGCTGTTTTAGCAGCAGCGGCTGCCGCTGCTCCACCTACGTCAGAAATTTACGCAGCCCAAAGAGAAATGTACACCAGACCAACAGTTTTTGTTTCCCAACCACCTTATCAAAATTATAATAGAGTTGTTCCGCCTCCAGCTCATAATGCTTCAAATCGACAGGTAGTATTTAAAAACATAATTATATAATAAAATTATTTATTTTTCTATTTGCTTGCATTACAATAACTTTAATGAACTTGTAATAAGAATTACTTTAATATTTTAATATTTATGCATTAGGTTTTGCCATCACATCCACTTCCAGCCCATATACAGTTTCCTACACAATATAGTCAATTTGGTCCTTTAAGTCCAGCTCAAGTGGCAAATAAACATTCTCATTATGCTCCAGCAAATATATGGTATGGAGAATAAGAAAAAGAAACGGCGAAAAATTAAAAAAAAAATTAAATAAACTACGTGAGTCTTTTATGTTAAAAATTTTAATTTTTATGGTTGTTTTGTTTTTAGTAAATATTATATCAATTTTCATATAATATTTAATTTAAATTATATAAATGTTTACATTAAATATTATTTGAAGTGAATATATATTAAATTCTTAAATTATATGTAACTTTATTAAAAGCTTGATAATTATATTTTAGTGAATTACTTGAATTAAAAAATTCTGTGCTATCATTATGGTACGATAGCATACTATCCAAGATTTGTCTGAAAAGGAAAACAACAACAACCTCAATAAATTCTTCAATTATCTTTGAGAATAACAGCAATAAAAAGTTGAAACCATTGTAAATTAAAATTCATACCAACAGAATATTTTATGGTGAATAGTGAAATATTTTTGGAAAGTATACACACCATGAGTTGATTTACTGTTCCAGTTTGCAATAAATAAGCTGAAATAACATCTTCCAAATTAAACAAAAATAAATGAAATTTCAGTGGGAAACGTATTTTAAAATTTTTGTTTAAAATTAATGAATTTTTGTTTATATAGTTCATGTTAACGTCAAAATAATTAATAACGTATGTAAAGTAGCAAAAGGAAAAAGAAAAATAATTTTGGAGTTAAATGATTGTAAAAATGTCCATGGAAACTTAATATTAATTTGAAATTATAGATGAAGAAAGGCACTCTATAAAATTATTTTGTATTTTTTATATTAATTAATTTTTTTTTTCTTTTGATATGCTAATATAGAATTTTTGTCTCTAATGTCTCTAATGTTAATTATGTCTAATACATACATATATATCAAAATATTAATGTAGTAAAAAAAAATCGATATATTGATAAGTGTATATTAAAATTTGTAATTAATTACAAAAAGCAGAAAAATTGTATATTTTAAGTAATTAGTCAATAATTTTTTTTTAATATTTGCTTAAAAATTGCAAAATAATAAAAAATGATTATATATATATATATTGATTTTTGACTAATATTTAGTTTGAGTTATAATTTTTTTTATTTTAATATAGCTATATTTTTACATTTATAATTACATAATTGTAAATATTTTTGTCTAATAATTTTTTTCTATTGGAAAATAATATTTTTTTTTTCTTTAATAATCTTATAAATCTTATTTTTATTTATATATTAATGAATATATTCAAGAATAATATTTGATTTATTTTTAAGTTTAAATTTAATAAATTTACATTTTGAAAAAAACCTATTAAAAATAACTAAATTTAAAAAAGAAATTTTAAACAAATTATTGTGTGAAATTAGCGTTAATAAACGCACTTTAAATTATAATTGTATTAAAAAATTTATATATACATATACGAGAACTAATAGTAGTTAAAAAAAGAAAACAAAAATACATTATATAAAAAAAAATTAAAATTAATGTTTTTAATTAATTTACATGTAAACAAATGCATAGAGTGCGTATAAATTTATATAATATATTCTTTTAATTTTCGTTTTGTTTTCAAGATTATAAATTTTAGCAGATTTTTATATGTTTAATTAAATAAGTTTTTTTTTTGGAGCTTATGATGGCTATTTGTATATTAACTTAGAATTGTACTAATATATAATATTAGATTGTTTTTATAGTTTCATTTTTAAATTTTTATTTTTGTATTGAAAGGAAAAAAATATATTATACATAATTCTAATAAGATATTTAAATTTAATCTTAATAATATTTAGATTTTTAATTTAAAAATTAAACATGCATACATATATATTACATATTATGATTAATAAAATTTAAATCAATTCGAAAAAGAATTGAACATTTTGTGTAGTTAAAGGAGAAAATCAAAATAAAATCGGCTGCATTCCTAAAATTTTTCAAAGATTACAAGACAAAGAAACAAAATATTTTTTTCAATATTTAGCACCAGTTTGCTTTCTTTTAAATTCTTTATTATTTAATATTCAAAAATTTTGCAAGACTTTTCATTATGAAGGTATTCATTGCATACACTTGTATATGAAATATCTTTAATTTTTATTAAATTGAAAATTAATAAAGTTAAATAATTCTGATAAAAATGTTATCAATTTTTATATGTTTTTGAATAGATAATTAAAAATTGTGATGCAAGCCAAAAACATAAAATAATTATATTTTAATAATGGGGAAAGAAATGAGTAACATATATTTCCTGATTTCTATTTAATAATTGCAAAATTTTGTATAAATATATATACATTCTAATTTTTTTGTAATAATAAAAATAATTTTAATAATATACTAAAATGTTTTGAATATAATTTTCATGTTATATGATTATAAAACTTATTCATGCTATATGGCACATTATTATTATAAATCGTATATACTACAATATTTAAAATATTAATAATATAATATTAAAAGTTTGATTTATGTATTTTAGAAAAATTACGCAGGAAATTTCTATTTTTTGTCTTTTAGAATATGTTAATTATTAAATGATAATTGTAAAAAAATATCAGATAGCTTGTCAATTACAGCTTTATAGTTATTGCCTCTATATTATATACATATGTATATATATACGAGTATATATATATTTTTTAACATAAACAATATATTTATTCTAATCAAATACTTAAAGAATTTCTTTGTTTAGTGTATTAATATAAAAAATCATTCAAAATATTATTTTCTTTGCTTCATTTTCTAGAAATTCGATTTTTTTATTTTAACTCAAATTTGTATTTGAATAACCACAAATTACAAACTCTTGAATAATATTACGTAAAAATAACCATTTATAAAAAACGTAGTGTATTATAATAAATATTTTCTTATTATTAATAAACTTTACTTTTTTTTTGTTTTAATATTAGCAGTATTAATTTATATTGCACATTTTACAATATTAAATTAATAACATTAAAAATTTCTATAAAAGATTTTAAATTAAAGGGAGCGAAATATAATAGAAAATATTAGAAATTTATTAAATAAAAAAAAATTAAAAATGTTCAAAAACATAATTATTTTCATTTTATTCAAATAAATACAAAATTTTCATTATTAAAAGAAGAGCATTATCAAAAAATTTAAATATGCAAAGACAAAATACATACACGTAAATAAACTTAAAAATTATTTTAATCACTAATCTAATTATTTTATTCAATAATGTTTTAGATATTAAAAAATTAATGAGACTGTCTAATCACAAAAGAAACTGATAGGTTTTTTTTTGTTCATATATAAATTTGAAAGAAAGAAATTGGATGCGAAAGATAGCCAAATAGAAAAATAAAATATGAAAAATAGGAAAAAAAGAAAATTTCGAAAATATAAATTTGATACTAATAATGCATAAGCATAAAAATGTTAAGAAAAATGTAAGAAAAAAAAATGTTAATTTCAATGAAAACTTACGGAAAGAAATACTTTTGTCCATTTATAATAGAATTATTAATATAAATTACAATAAATTTAGCAGCTATTAAATAAAGAATAATTAAAAATTTAATATCAGGATTGGTTTTTTTTGTTTTTTTTTTAATTTTTGATTGTATTGCTACATACCAGACCACCTTAACGTAGGATTGTTTTAATAAATTTTAGAATAGAATTGTTAGTATAAATTTAAAACAAAAACAATATAAAATATAGAACACAATTTCGAAAATAAAAGTAACTTTTTTATTATTATATTCTTAATAATTACAAGTATAAAACAGAAAACAAATTATATGTGTAATAAATTCATATATTTTAAGTACAATAATTGGCTTCATAACTAATATTATTTATAATGAAATTAATAATTACAGATATTATAATATATTTAAGAATTTTTTTTTTTTCAGGTTTAATAATTTTTTGGTCACGATTTATTATTTATATCACTTGAGTTAAATTATTTCGGTTATCTTTCGGTATTAAGTAATAACGACATGAAAATAAATTTTCTTTATTTCCAATTCTAATTTTTATGTTTCATTCGATTAATTCTCATTCTATAAAATTCAAAATTTTTTAACTAAGTTCTTTTAATATGCTTAAAAAAATTTTATTAAATCTCAATTTTTCTTTTTTGTTATAGGTTTAAGTGACCATACCCAAATTATATACGAATTAATTTAAAAAAATGTAAACTACATAATATAATTTAACAAAAATTTATATATGTATAAAAAAAAAAAATAACTACAAATATTAGAATGTACTAATCAACATTAAAATTTTATGATATATAGATGAATGTAATTTTTTTGTACCTAAAAACATTGAAGAAAATTTAAATAAAAATACATAATAAAAAATTAATTACAATATAATAAAAATAGAGGTTTAGATAACAAAAAATAAAAAAAAATAAAGAAAACAAAGAATTTTTAACAAATTTTAAACAAAAAAAAAAAGTAACTTTGTTTTACAGAAAATGCCTTATTAACCCCTCTACCCCCATAAAGTATAAATTTAAATTATAAGGATATTAAGAAAAAATAAAAATATAAAGAAAAAAAAAATATTATAAATATCGTTAGATATATTGTGTTATAACATTTTGGATATATAATGTAACATTCATTTTTTTATATCCTTACAATGTCATTTATACCATATGATATATGTATACATTTTTTCCTCTTTAATTTTGAAAATTATAAAGTTCAATAAATTTTGGCTATATGCAGTACTCTAACTTTAAGTTATACTTTTTATATTTTCAAATAGCATTAAATTACAATAGCCTTTTGATAAGCAATCTGTTGATAATATTTGTTGATTTTTTGTTGCCAAAAATAATGTCCAAGATTCGTTTTTTATTTCGGTAAGCCGTTTTAATAGTTTTGGTCAATATTTGTTTATTTTCTACAATTGTTTTTTTTTTTTTCTAACACATTTTCGAACTCTGTCATTTGAATTAAAAAAATTTATTTTCTTGCTTAAGTATAATTTGTTCTTTATTTAATATAACTTGTATACATTTCATTAATAATTCACTCATTGTGGTATATAATTAAGTATTCAAATAAAACAAGACGTAAAAATAATTAATCAATATTAAATTAATTTAGTAATTTTTTTAAGAAATTATTAGCGGTTTGTGTTTTTATTTCTAATGTTCTTTCTGTTTTTTTTTTTTTTAAAAGTTTTCCTTTTAGTGTTAGTTATAAATATGAATACATAAAATCAATTAAAATATTATACTTATTCAGACATACTAAAATATAAAATTAATTTTTTTTTTTTTGGGTTCAATTTTTAATGTGCAAAATTAATATTGTAATAATTAAAATGTTAAATATTTGTAGTAATTATGGGAGATTTGTAATACATTTTTAATATAATTAATTAATAGTACATACTGTAAATTGTAATAGAGTATTATATACTAATTATACTACGTTTTATAAAGCCTTGGATGATTTTTTTTTTAAAATAAACAAATATTTTTTTTTTTATATTTTATTATTAAGATAATTAAAAATTTTTATTATATAATAATAAATATGTTTATATATATGTAGAATAATCATTTATATAATTTACATTATCTATAAGTGGTAGTTGCATTAAAAAAAAATAATTAAAAATAAAACAAATACGATAAAAGGAAAACACAATATATATATATATTATAAATTGATTAACACCTATAAAAATAATTATTATTAACACATAAAAATTGTTCTATAAAAGAATTATGTATTTGATATAATTTTTTGTGTAGTTAAAACAAAAATAAAAATGTTAAAATAACAATAAATAATTTTTTTTTTTTTATTTAAGAAATGGTAATCAATGTATATTAAATAATTCAAATTTAAAATACTAATAATACTAAAAATTATCAAAAATATTTAAAAAAAGTAAAATTTCCAATATGTAATTAATTTTTTAGAGATGAAAAAAAAGTGATTTCAAAA